GAAAACAATGATGGATCAATCTATGGAGTTTGTAAGTTTTGACCAAATGATGGAAATGATAATGGATCAATTGATGGAATTTATGAGTTAATTATGAAATTATTAGTATTGAGAATCTAAAAAGAAATATTATGAACGATGAGATTAAAAAGAGATCATAGGATAGTTATGATTACCTAAGAGATGAAAAATAAAGACTTAGAAATTGAGTAATGAAGGCCATGAAGGGGTCTTAAGAACTTTTTTGCCATGATTAGAGTTTCATTCATGCATTGCATTCATAAACATTGTATTCATAAAATTTGTTAGATAAGAAGTTATGACCTTGGATCTTGAAATGATGATTAATGAGGGTGTGAAATGTTTTTACTTGATTTTTATCCTTGGTAGGAGATAATTTTTGGAGAATATGATTTGATTCCTGATGGAAAATTTTTTTTGAAAGAATGAGTAAGGTAATAATCCTTGATTGAGGAAATATTTTACAAAAATAAGACATGTTGATGAGATTTTTAAGGAAAACTTGGCAAAGATAAAGTTTAAAACCTTTGGATGAAGAAAATGATCTCAAAAAGGGTTGGTAAACCTTGGTTAATGAGCTCTTCATTTTTCATAACCTTTGTTTAAAGGAGCTTTTTCATCACAAGATAAGAATCTTTTATGTAAATCCTTGAGACATTGAAGTTTAGATTTGAACTTATCAAATGAAAACCTTTTAAATTTTGAATGTGAATATCTAAGATTTTAAATGTGAATCTTTGAATCCTTGATGTGAATGTTAAAAACTTATGTAAATCTCAAGAATCATTAGGTGAGGATCCATAATCTTTGATTTGAATATTTGAATGAATCCCTAATCTTTTTCAAATAAGAGTCCCTTTTATATTTTTCAAAGTTGTTGAGTCTCTAATGAGATGAGCTTTTTAAATTTTAAAAGTTATTGAGCCTCTGATGAAATAAGTTTTTTATATTTTTAAAGTTGTTGAGCCTTTAATAAGATGACTTTTTTATATTTTTTAAAAGTTGTTGAGCTTCTAATGGAAGAAGCTTTTTATATTTTTCAAAAGTTCTTGAGCCTGTAATAAGAGGAACCTTTTATATTTTTCAAATTTGTTGAGTCTTTGTCTATGGTGTTTTATTAAGATGAGATTTTAAAACTATTAAATTTTTTTTTTTAAATGCGAATCTTTGATAAAAATCTCTAAATTTTTTAAATGTGAATTTTTTAATTTTAAAAATTTTCAAATGCAAATCTTTGACTTTAAATGAAAATCTTTGAGCTTCAAATGCGAATCTTTGGATGAGAAATGAAAAACTTTGAAAATTTGGATGTGAATCCCTAAATTTTGTCGAATGTGAATATTTGAATCTTAGATATGAATCTCTAATGTGAATTTTTGAATCTTGAATGTGAATCTTTAGGACTATTTGGATGAGAATCTTTGAGATTTTTCGAATGTGAACCTTTTAATCTTTAAGACTTTTTGAATGTAAATCTTTGAAACTTTGGATGTGAATCTCAAACTTTTTTGAATCTGAATATTTGAATTTTAGATTTGAAGCTTTAAAATTTTATTTGTGAATTTTGAATTTTTTTGTGAATCTTAAATCGTTGTGAATTTTGAATCTTTACGATCTTGAATCTTTTGTGAATTTTTGAATGTTTTACAAATTTTAAATTTTTTGCGAATATTTGAAATTTGCAAATTTTTGAATTCTTTATGAATTTTAAATTGTTTGTGAATCTTGAACTTTTATGAAACTTTGATCTTTTGTGAATCTTTAACATGTTACGAATCTTTAAATTCTTATGAATCTTTAATCTTTGAGAATCTTAAAATTTTTTTACGAACCTTTGAATCTTACGAATATGAAAGCTCTTGCGAATCTTTGAAATTTTGTAAATCTTTAAATTCCTACGAATCTTTAAAACTTTGAATTTATTTGTGAATCTTTGAATTTTTAAGAGAACCTCAAATGTTTTGCAAGTCTTTAAATTCAAATTGAGAATCTTTGAACTTAATTGTGAACTTCTAAACTTCAAGTTGCGAATCCTTGATTTCAAATTACTAATATTTGAATTTTGAGTTCTGAATTTTTGAATATTAATTGTAAATTGCGAATCTTTATTTTAGATGAGAATCTCTAAATTTTTTTTTTCGTATCAAACCTGGATGTAATAGATATTTATATCTTTGCATAATTTCTATTTTATAAAAAATACGCAAATAGGAGTAGCTATAGATATCCAATTTAGTTTAGGGTTAATTTTATTTTTTAAGATTAAATGTTTAGATTATTTTTATTGTTATTTTTATTTTATTTTGAGCAGTATGATTAATTACAAAAATAAAATATTAAATATTAAATAAAAAAAAGAGTTTGGTCGATAACAAAATTGGGAGGTTGAATTGAAAGTTTAATTGATAAATGAGTATATTTGAGAAAAAGGACAAGAAAGAGACTTGGACTAAAAATCCAAAACCTAGTTTTATTAGGAAATGGAAATTAAGAAAATCTTGTTCTATTGTGATTAGAATTAGAGGCCTATAAAAACATCCCATTAGTAGTCATAAAAATAAATTAAAAACAATCAAGAAATATGCAGAAAAAAATTTTCAAAAAGAAATCAAGAAAGTTGGCAAGAAAGCAAGAAAAAAATCGTAGGTCAATTGGCAGAAAATTTTAGGCAATGTTGTTTTCTTATTGATTTTTGGAAAAGTTCTTGGTTAGATTATAGAATTAATTGGAAATTAAGGGATTTAGATTTGGGAAAACAAAAATAGAAGAAGAAATTGAAAATTTTTTTGGGTCTTTTTGAAAACAATTCTGGACTTGTTGAAGATTTCAGCGGCCAATTGGAAATTTTCGGTGACTTCTTGCCAAATTTTGCATTTTTTTTTGTCGTGATTTGGCTTACGTTGGAGTTTTTGACTGGCATTCAAGGATTTTTTAGAGAGAATTCAGAGGAAAATTTTAAGAAAGAAAGCCAAAAGTAGAAAAGTAAAGGGATAGAAAAAATTTGGCTTTTATTCCGGTTGAAATGATACTGTTTTGGTTTAAAATTTTTTTGAAGATTTGTGCCTGACCCATGCAACCCACATGCCTACTCAGGTATGACTTGACCCGTTTAGCATAAAACTCATTTTCTATTTTCATTTGATTTATCATTTCATTTCATTTTGATTTGATTTGATTTTATTATAGTTGATTTATTTTTTTCTTTTATTTATATTATGATTAATTTATGTTGATTAAGTTATTTACTGTTAATTAAAATTTTAATTTGAAAATAAAATAAAATTCTGTTAAAGCGTTGGAGGCTTTAAAATTTTGTTTTAATATAAGAATTTTTATTCATTTCTTATTTGAAAAAATTAAAATTGAGAACAAATTATGATTTTATTTAATTGCATGATTGATTATTAGATAAATTGTGATTACATATAATGAATTTTGTGTTGGATAAATTGTATTATGTAAATTATTATGTATTAAATTTCATAAAATATTTTAATAAATTTGACTATGAAATTTTTATTTTTTAAAAAAAGAGTGTGTTATTTAAATAGTATTGAGGTGAGAAATATTTTTTAAGGAATCGACCAAAGTGTTACACCCTCACGGAAAGGAATGGGTATCTCAAGCTTTCACCTCCAATGCTTGCATTTCACTGTGTTGATGAGTTGGTCCCAGCAACCTGACGAACCAGCATACTGTGGTGAGAAAATGATTACTGAAATCATTGATTCTTCAATAACTTCGAACAGCTCCAAAGAAATTTCCACTCCCCTTGAAAGAAAGGATAAGCACTAATTTCTTTCCGTTGCAAAGCATGATGTAACTGATTGATAAAGAGATCGGGTGTCTCCACGTCGGTAACTCAGAAAAACATCATGCTTTGGTTGAGGGGAGGAGGCATCAGGAGAGGAAAGGGCCATAGGACAACAAGAAGATACCCTAAATCTGTATGAGAGAGCAAAATCGATGAACGGAGGCAATTTTATACTAACCTTAATTTAAATTCTCGGCTTATCTTGTTAGAATTGTAAAGTAGAATAGGTTATGTAAGAAATTTGAGGTAACTACTGGCATGTATCTTTGAAAAAAATATGCAAAGGGGAAAGGAAATTAAGACGCCTTTTTTCCTTATCTTTGTAAACCGTTCGTGTTCACCACCACAGGCAAAAAAAGAAAAAAAAAAAACTTCAAATTTGTCATTTTGTCTTAGTGCATTTGTTTAGTGCTAATAACATTTATAATATAATAACACCTTTGGATTCCATTAAATTATTCTGCAATGGTCTTTATTTAGTGTAGCTTCCTTAAAAATTCTACAAAATAAGAAAGAAAGATAAAACATTTTTTTTTTTGTAAAAACGTGTATTTTTTACCAATAAAAAAAATATTAAAAGAAAAAAGCACATTTTTTTCATAAAAAACGCATTTTTACCAACAAAGCAATCATTCGTAATCCTTCGTATAAAAGATTTTGTTTTAGTATAATTTGGATTGAATCATAAAATTAATATCGATGAGATTAAAAAATTAATGATAATAAAATTAATTACAATAAGATAACATATTATAAAAATAAAAATAAAATTGATGATGATATATGTATTTTATGCATAAATAGTTTTGATAATAATAATAATAATAACAGGAACGACATTAATAAAAATGAACTAAAAAATTATGTTCATGCATATTTTTCTCCGTATAAAGTAGGGGCATACGCCTTTGAAACTAAACTAATCTAAAATAACCTATTCCCATTTCATGTGCCAACAACATGGCTAGTTCTTCTTGCACAAACTCGAGAATTATGATTCCTCTTGGTTGGTTCAGGTTCTACCCTATCAGCCAATCAGCAAAATTATCGTCTTGTCTTAAAATATAATTGAGTCCCCAATTCAAACCATTGTCTAGAAGTTGGCTTATCTTTTTTTCCATTGAATGTTGTACCTTGGATGTGCCTCCTCTTACTAGCTTGACTGATGTTAAATAGTCGGATTCAATTTCCAACCTGTTGATATTCATGGATTTAACAGGAGTAACCCCACTAAAAATGGCCCATAGTTCAGTAAAGTCAATAGAGAAATCCCCATTTAAGCTTGTAAATCCTACAACTCTTTTGCATGTTTGATTTTACAAAAAAAAAAAAAAAAAAAAAAAAAAAAACTCGTCCCTACGACTGCTTATTCTTTGCTCTCCTTAGCTTATTTGATAGTTGATATATACATCTCCTGTAAGGTGAGATTTGGATCAGGAATCCAGAAGTTTTTGAGCTTATTCCTTGCCACCAACACAAGGGATCTTTGGCCTGTTTTGTCTTTAATAGGAAACCTTATACTTGGGTCTTTGCCTACAAGAGAAGGGACTTTGTTAAGAACACATAGAAATAGATAATGAACATGACAGAAGTCACAGAACTATAGATTATTTCCTCTGCAGAAGCAAATAGATCAATCCTTTACTGTGAAAAGTTATACCTCAAATCCCCGTTTAAATGATGGTGATACAACATTCTCATTGCTAGTAAATTTAGAAAGGGCCATGCATATGATGAAGATGACAGAAACAACAGATACTTTGATAGGATTCTCGCGGCCCCTGCGATGATAGCAATATGCCACAACTGAAAAGATGTACTGCACAAGGCCAGAAATCAAAGCAAACATGTCGATGAAGGAATAGAACGACTTTTCACTTGAAGATGGGTGGTAAAACCAACTTCTCAGGCCCTGTCGTTTGAATGCAACTTTAGCTTTTCGTCCCCTGTCAAAGAGCTCAATGATGCAAGTAAACATGGCCACAATGGACACGACCATAGCGATTAGCGAAAATTGAGGTCTTTTAGGGGAGGCGCATTGCTCCAAAGCCACCAACAATACCTCTAGAACTACATTGATGAGCAAAAATATCCATTCCTCGTTAACCTACGATCTTGAAATGCATTAATAAAATAAACAAATTAAGATGGTGCTAAGAAGGCATATTCAAACAAAAAGTTGAAAGGTTCCACTAGTGGGTAACTAAATCATAATTTAACTGAATTTTCAATTTACTTTATCCATTAATTAAAAAACTTCGAATAAAATATTAAATTTTTAAAAACTTGAAAAACTTTAAAATACTGAATTCATGATTATAAAAATTATTTCGCTTGCTAGTGAAATTTATAGATTGTGACGCTATAAAAATGTAGGTTTTTCCAATTGAAATTAAGTTTAAAAGAAATAAAAAAAACAAAAACTCATAGTAGTAGTAATCTAATTGGATCAGTTGCTTTTAAGTATGCAATTAACTCTTTGTATTAAGCAAGAAAAAAAATCGAGAATATGATTTTTCGACTTTATTTGATAAAGTACAAATAAAAATGAAAAAAATAACAAGAACAGAAAAGTATAAAGATAAAAAAATTATATATTTTTTTCATTCGTTGCCTTTTTTTTTTCTTTTTTAACAAAAGAACACGACAACGATGTGCCTTCGACGGTCAGTTTTCCAAGCCTGTTGTTTTGCCTACAAATTCGTTTATAAAATAAACAAAAATGATGTTAAAAAATAAAGATGTGAATTTTATTTATATTTAATGATGAATTATATTTTTTATCTTAACAGAGATGAATATATATATTATATTATGAGAATAAAAATAAATATAATTTTAAATTTTTTATTGAGTATAAAGATAAAAAAAAAAGTTATATAACGATCATTCCATACTTATACTTTATATATTTATTTATATATATTTAATAAATAAATTTTTTATTAAATAATATAAATTATTATTTTAAATTAATTAAAATTAATATATTTTTATCTAAAATATATATTAACATATTTATAAAAAAATTACATAAATATGAAAAATAAAAATTTTATAAAAAAATTAAAAAATATATTTTGATTTTGATTTTTTTAAAATTTATAAATACAAAAATTATTCGTATATATTAAATACTTACGAAAATGAAGATAAATTTAAAATATTCATTAAATATGAATATAGAAATGAATATAATATAAAAATTTAAAAATAATGATGAAGAATATTTGATCCAATTTCTACTCTAGTCATTAACATCCTTATTAAAAAACAAAAATAGTAAATCAAAAGGTGAAATGTTAAGTCTATGGAAGAGGAATCCATTTAAATTAATAATGACGAATCCAAAATTTTTTAGGGATGTTTATTTACAATATATATAAAAAATTATTGATAGATTTATCATCAAGTATGATGTTCAAAAATTTTTTTTCTTTTAATTTTTTTTTTCATTTTCGGGTTGTTCAAAAAATTTTTTCGAAAATGTCTAGTGAATTTTTTTTAATTTTACTACTTTTTAATTTTGGGATGTCTATGTACACAATCTCATTAAAAGTTGATCTGTCACTGTAAATTAGCATAAATGTTATACTTTTTTTATAATATTAAATCAGAATAAATTCATAATTAATTTCAATTAAAATAATATTTTTAATTTTAACTACTTTGAACTAATAATAAAAAAAATTTAAAAAATATAAAACTTCCTTTAATGCAAAAATATATATTATATAAAAAAGCTTATGCTTTGTGCAAAATAACACTTGGCCACTAAATAACCCTCGTATCTCGACTTCTACTGCATTTCATACCAAGTAAACAATTAATCAGCTACTTAACCCCCTTAATAAAGGTATTTTATAAAACAATTACATAAGACTCATTAAAAAGTTACCTCCCAATGTCCGATTCGAAGAATGGCAGCTAGAAATTTTAAGGCTTTAAGCTTATCGGTAGCAGCAGCAGTTTTGGCCTTCGTTTTTACTCCAGAGCTCAAGTCTTCAGCTTGGGAAGCTGAGACACTGCTTTGGGAAGGACTCTTACTTAGCCTCGATTCAGGGGGGTTCAGCTCACCCGACAGATCGTTCTGCGATGGCGGGATCGGTTGGGAAGCTGAGACACTGCTTTGGGAAGGACTCTTACTTAGCCTCGATTCAGGGGGGTTCAGCTCATCCGACAGATCGTTCTGCGATGGCGGGATCGGTTGGGAAGCTGAGACACTGCTTTGGGAAGGACTCTTACTTAGCCTCGATTCAAGGGGGTTCAGCTCATCCGACAGATCGTTTTGCGATGGCGGGATCGGTTGGGAAGCTGAGACACTGCTTTGGGAAGGTCTCTTCCTTAGCCTCGATTCAATGGGGTTCAGCTCATCCGACAGATCGTTTTGCGATGGCGGGATCCGGAAAGCATTAGGATCGGAGTTCCGCTGACAAAAAAATCATCACCACCAAAATACAGCAAAAAACAAAAAAAGGAAAAAATAAACCTCTCAAAAACACTGAAACAAAATATTTAAAATTTTAAACGTCCAATAATAAGCTCTTATTTTTTCCCAAATAGTTGAGATCTCTCTCCAAAATTAGGTAAATGTTTTATTTCATTTTTAAAAAAGGTAAATTAAATTGAAAAAGAAATTACATGTTGAAGATCCGGAGAAAAAACAGTTCCGGACTCTCCGGGTGGTGGTAGAATCCTGAGAAGACTATTTACATAGGCATTAGCGTCGCGTGGATAGGTCAAACTTGTCTCATTTAATACCTCTCGAAGAGACCGTCCTCCTTTCCGGCGTAACCTCATCTCAGGCTTCCGCCTAAGATTTGTCGGTATCATCGACTTCTCCATCCAATCCCAGCGAAATCCCGAGTTTCCCAATACCAATCCCAAAAACCACGGAAATCTAATTTTAAGTTTTCTCTGTCAAAATTGAAGGAAAGAAAGAAAATTTCGGAGAATCTGAAAACCTTAGAAAATTAAGGGAAATCTAATTAACGGTGTTAAAAGAAGAGAGAGGAAAGGGCCATAGGAGAACAAGAAGGTTACCCTAATTCAGTACAAGAGAGCAAAACCGATGATCGAAGGAAATTTGCTACTAAATTTAAATGCTCGGATCTTCTTGTTTGAATGGTGAAGTAGAATAGATTAAGAATTTCGCGGTAACTACTGATATGTTTCTTTGAAAGAAAATGTAAAGAAAAGAGGAAATTAAGACGTATTTTCCTTCCTGACCTACCTTTGAAACGGTTCATGTTGACTACCGTATGCTTTTGTGTTGGTTTGACAATGACATTTATAATAATAGGTCTGGATTCAATGCACAAAAAGGGCTTTTGCGAATTTAATTGATTGCACTAAACAGAGCGGTAATTGTCAAAAAAAAAAAATCTTCTCGAAAATTCTGCAAAATAAGAAAGAAAGAGAAGAAAAAGCATTTCTTCATAAAAAAGGCATTTTTGACCGACAAAGGAGTAGGTCATGATACTTCACATTAATATAAAAAGGAATTAAAAAATTATTTTCATGCATATTCTTCTTCGGACAAAGGAGGGCCGTACACCCTTGAAACTAAACTAATCTAAATTAACTTATTCCCATTTCATGTGCCAACAACATGGCTAGTTCTTCAGGCACATACTTGAGAATTATGATTTCTCTTGGTTGGTTCAGGTTTCTACCATTGAATGTTGTACCTTGGATTTGTCTCGTCTTACTAGCTTGACTGATGTTACAGAGTCGGATTCAATTTCCAACAAGTTGATATTCATGGATTTAACAAGACTAACCCAGCTAAAATGGCCCATAGTTCAGTAAGGTCAACAGAGAAATCCCATTGAAGCTTGCAAATCCTGCAGCCCACTTACTTCCCCTTTCATCTTTGATAACTCCTCCAGGTCTCACCTTGTTGTTCTGCTGGTCCAACTTCCATATATATTAAGCTCATGCCAACCTTTTTCAGGCTTCCTCCAATGAACTAAGATTTTTTTGTTTCCTATTCCTGGCATCAATACTTGGGGTTAAGAACTTTCCATTCCTGCATTACTTTACTCACCAGCATCCCATTTAGTATCCTCCGAAATTTTATTCTTTGATCATCTCTGCTCTGTTTCTTCACTTCCTGCAAAGACCATTGTCCAATCGCAATTTCCTACCACCACATATTTCCACTGGGACAGAATAGTATCAAACCGATCTAAATTCGAAATGACTCAGTGTTGTAAAATCTATCCTTTTGTCTTTCTTTTAGTACTTTGTACCATATTACTTTTGCCTTGGGGCAAAATCTTAAGATGTGTAATTAAGGTACTTTCCATGGCTCCTCCACAAAGACAACAACTTGCATCTTGATGCATGTTTATTTTCATTCTAAGCTGCAAGCCAAACAAAAGGGTCGTATTTTTTGTTGAACTCGTAGTTTCCAAATAATTTTGAACAGAGGGCAACTTAGAATGGAGAACGCGTACTTGACTGTGAAAATTCCACTTGGTGTGAATCCCTATCTGGCCATATAATGTTGTGGACTGTGAGTATTAATTAGCAAACCAACAGTTCTATTAACGATTGCTTCTGGAAGACAATTCAATAACTTTGTCACATCCCAATTTAATTTTTTATTAAAATTCCAAAGTTTATTTGGACGTTACTGATTACCCCTAATTTTTTTTGCCATAATTCTATAAATAATAAACAGTGCCAGTACTTGGTTTGGTGGCCCAAAATCGAAATTCTAAAAGCAAGAAGCCCACTGGAAAGGTTTCTTTTTCAAAATCAGAAATGGGACGGGATCGGGCTCAGATTCTCGGACCTATACCTTTACTTTTTACACGTTCGACTTTCCAGTTTTCATACCTCTTCCCTATCAAACCAACCAAGACCCTACGGTCTACGCATTTGTTTTAACCTTCTTTTTTCTCTGTTCAAAATCGATGGCACCGAAGCGCTCAAACCCTATTGAAAACCCACCAGCTGCTTCTTCATCTGAAGAAGAAGAAGAAGAGGAGGAGAGTTCTGAAGAAGAAGAAGAAGGATCTTCCTCTGAAGAAGAAGAGGAAGAACCAAAAACCCAAAATGCTCCACTAACCCAGAAAGCCCAACCTCCCAAAAAGCCTGAAGCTGCTGCCCCATCCGTCGCTGTTGACGAATCTGACGAATCTGATTCCGAGTCTGAGTCTGAATCCGATACGCCGTCTCCCAATGTCAAGCCTATTACTACAAAATCCATTGAGGAAACTTCACATGTCAAAAAACCTAGATCCAAACCTTTGGCTTCATCCGTTAAGGTTTCTTCAGTCAAGAGGGCAAACGAGTCTGAGCAAGAGCCCAAGGAAGCCAAAAGGGCCAAGAAGAAAACAGGGGAAGAAGGGACTGCTGCTGTTGTTGTGGAGGAGGTGAAAAAGACTGGAGAAGACGCAAAGAAGCAGCTTTTCCAACGGCTCTTCAGTGAAGACGATGAAATTGCTGTGTTAAAAGGTATGCTGGATTATTCTGAAAAAAATGGATCTGATCCTATTGCTGATATGAATACATTTTATGATTTTGTTAAGAAATCAATTCATACTGATGTTACCAAAGCACAATTGATGGATAAGATTAGGAGGTTAAGAAAAAAGTTCGAAAACAATGCAAAAGGTAAAAAGGGTGAGGATCGGACTTTCTCTAAGCCCCATGAACAGAAAGCTTTTGAGTTGTCAAAAAAGATATGGGGTAAAGATGGAATTACTGTGAAAGTTGAGTCCTCTAGTGCTAAGTTGAATGGGAAAGCAAAGGGAAATGCCAAACCATTGACTGAATTGAAAGGAGAGTTGCTTTTTTCAGCTGTAAAGAAAGTTGATCCAATGGAGGTTGATAAGAAGGGATCTAAGAGTTTGGGTAGCTTGTTTGATAAGAGATTTGGTGTGGCTGGCTTGGAAGAAGAAGTTCTAAAACATGGATTGGATATGATTGATGGAGAAACGAGGGCAGCTTTGGATGCAAAGTGGAGGAAACTGCAAATTGCTGAGTTGGAGCTGTTTTTGCAACGAAATGAGTTGGTCAAGGAGCATGCCAAGTTGATGCTGGAGTTTTACAAGTCTGAAGATAAATAGAGTGTTGGTATAAGTGATGATATTTTTATGTGCATTTTAAACAAATGTAATTTTGTGGTTATTTGGTATTTTGTTTATGTTTTGCCAATTGTGGGGTATAATAGTGCTTACTTTTGATAACTGGGATTATATTAATGTCTTTTAGACAGTAACCTCTCTGTTTATGTGCGTAATAGCAGTTCTGAACTGTTGCTTTGCTGCTTTTGTGCATAATAACATGCTGTTGGGCCTAATTTGTCATGCTTGGATTTGCTTAATGTTTGGATTATAGGTTATCTTGATGTTTCCTCTATATGAATTGCCTGATTGCTTCTTATATTGTTGACTTTTTTATGTTGCTCCCTTCTTCGATAGTAGTTTATGTGAAAGGTAATTGCAGAGGAAATATCAGTGTTAATAAGTTAGATATCATTTTGCAAATTTAAACTTTTGCTTCTTGATTGACTTGGAAGACCTTAGCTTTCATGAAAATGCCATATTTTCTTTTGATCCACTAGCTCTTCTTGCTCTATGAATGTATTATGCCGTGCTCTAATAGTCACTACTCTTAGTCTTCACACTTTATATGAGTGATGGCAGTTAGTAAAAACATGTTCTAGTCTAGTCTTTGCAACCAGAAACCTTTGTTAAAGTTGACCTTATTGATTATCAATATGTTTTCAAAAATGAATGTAACAATATAAAGTTTTGCCTAGTTATATTAATAGGTATGATGATTGCTGTATTTGCTCTGGTTTCAATTTTAGTTTTATAGTAGCTTATACTTATGTTTGTATTGTCCTTTATTCTGACATATCTTAATAATCATTCCATTTAGCTATTTATGGAATACATATCTCTTTCATTTTACAAAGAATTATGGAACTTTTTACTGCTTCAAATAAGATTTTTTTCAAATATTGTGAGCATGTTAAAACTTGAAGCATTTTGCTGTGCCTTGTCCAAGCATATATTGCTAAGGTTTAAATCTGAAAATATCTTCAGCTTTTTGGCATTGGTATTTGGGATGTTTTGGTTTTTTACCTGTGATACTTCTTGAACATTATATTTCAAGTTGAGGTTATTGAATGTCTACTACACTGCTTTTTCTGTTAGTTTTTTATATAGGAATATAAGTATGTTGGCTAGCAACTTAAGTTGGAGAGTAAGGTTGATAATTTTGGAAACATTACTGCTTAAAATTGATGGTTTTGCTTAAGATTGGGGTGATTGAAACTAGTTTCTTTTGTTGAGATGTTGGCTTTGCTTTTTTATTTCTGCATAATAACCTAATTATAGGATATTGTTACCATTACTGCTGAGAAACTTGGAATCAAGGATCCCAAATTAACTTAGATCATATTATTCTTTACTTACGTTTTGGATCATTACAAGTGGGGCTGTCCAAGTCAAGTCCTAGTAAATGTGCATAGACATAAAGGAGATTCATTATCTAGGGTTGAGTTAAGCTTAGTAAGAAGTGTGCTGGTATTGGTATATCAGTGAGTTGGTTGAGTTCTCTATAGGAATGAGTTGTACTAGGCAAGTTTCTATGGCTGTTGAGAAGCACTAAAGTGATCATACTGTTTTATTTACAAGGTCTTTTAACCTCTTTTTCCCATTATGATAATGCATGCTTACTTGCTTTTTAAGTTTTATTTTGATCAGTACTTTGAGCTAGTTTTATTTCTGTTCATGTATAAAATTTGAGGATTTGGACTGTGTTTTAAATTTGCAAAAATCTACTGGAATAGCAGCTGTTTTGGTTGATCTGGACTGATAAATGAATTTCTGGCCAATGCACCCCTAAGAGAAAATTATTGTCTATGATTTTCAACATAACTTTGATACAACCAGACATCTTGGCTTATGTACCAGTTTTATGTATGAAAATTGTCTGTTTAAGTCAAGAATTGTACTGATGCTGGTATTTTACTTGTTCAAATTCATAATTCATTTATCTTGGGAGCAAGAAGAATGACAATGTTGAATTCTTAACAAAAAAGCATGCAAAGCTATTTCAATAAGATACAAACAAGTTATCTATTGTTTCTTAGTTCTCTATGGAGATGGAATGGTGGTTGATTGGGTTTTTACAAGCATTATTAGTTTGTCACTATAAACCGACCTATGCTATTAGGTTTGTTTTGATTCATAATATGCATAATCGAAATTATCCACACCAGATTATATATTTCATTAAATTTAATATTCATAATAAAAAGTAACGTCAGCCTCTGTACTACTTTTCTGTTAAGTTTGATTTTGATCAGTAGTTATTTTAAGCTAAGTTTATTTGGCCGACAAAAATATGCTAGCATCCTTTATCTGTAAGTATTTGCTCTATGTTCCATTTGTGTCTGTCTATACTCTATATACAAAAAACAGATCAATCTTATTGTGAGGTACTGTCCAAGGAAAAGGTTACTTCCGGATCAGGGATAATAAATAAAATTGAAACAAGATAAAATCGTATATCGAAACGACTTCTGGCATCACCGAAAGGATCGAAACCACATTCGTAGGCCGACAATTTTTCTGGATAGGTCGAACTATTGGAAGCAAATGGAAAAGGAAGACCGAGTAGGATCAAAGAAACTAGCGGACTAATCACTAAATAGATAGAAATAGGTGCAAATTCTGACATCACCACAGCCCACTTGGTTCTCTCGCTCCTTGCTCGCGGAGCGGCATACCGAAAAAAAAATGAGAAAGGGTGCCGTAGCAACAACTACTGAGGCTCGACAAGAAGTTTGGTTTTGGACTGTGTCTGAATTTGCACAGTTGCTACGAGATTGCAGTTGTTTTGGTTAGTCTGATCGGAATTGTTGCCAATGCACCCAAAGAGAATGCATGCAGTCATTTTGTATGTTTTCTGCAACTTCTTTTAAGTATTAGAGTGAGTGAATGAAAGTGTGAAATTCAATCAGAATCTTGATCATAATGCCATTACTCATGGTTTATGTACTAATTTTATGAAACAAAAAATAAGTAGACAAGTTTGTCATGGTCATACATAAATGCACAGAAAGAAGTAAAAGAGCTGGGAGCTTTATTATCCTGATACTACTAGTCTCATCATATGCTGTCAAGAAATTTTCCAGGCAAAACAAAATGGAAAATAATGTAAACAAGGCAAAAACAACACAATGCTGCATGCATAGCAAATTTGGTTTTTCTCCTTATCTACTTATTCAGGTTAATTATAGTCTTAATAATTTTCCTAAACAACCATATCAAAACCAGCTGTTTCCTTTGCCCATTACAGCTTGGTAATGAGGAATAACATTGACCTCTCCAGCTGCCTTGAGAGACGAAATGTGGCAACTTCACACATTGATGAGGATGCTACTGCTCTGATTTCATCATCCCTGAAATCCTTTTCTTCCTCAGCTATGGTAGCTAGCATTTTTCTCGGTGGACGCTTGACGACTGAGATAAGCTGAGGAGGAGCAACTTCGGTCGTGAACCTTTCATGGTTTTGAAACTTACCCATTGTTTGTTCCATAGAACAGGTAAAAATACTAGCAAATTGATGGGCTGAAGATTGATACGGTTGGAGGAGAAAGGTAGAGGAAAAAAGCATGTAGAGGAAGAAGCATGTAGAGGAAGAAGCCTTGTAAAGGGTCATAAAAGATAAAAAGAAGGATTGGAAAAGAGATTGATTCAGGCCTCAATTGCACTAGAGGCAAAGGACTTATATAGGAGTAATTGGGGTGAAGTTTGAGAATTGAGACGAGGAAAATGTAGCTTTCATTAGGTCGGTTGGCATGTGGGGGCATATGCTTTTTTCTATTAAACATTGATGCTTAATCACCATGGAATTTCTTTTTATAAGAGTCAGCCATCTTTTGAAGAGTTCAAATTTGTCATTAGCTATAACACCTCTAATTAATTAGCTTAGTAATAAAATTATTGATTTAGTTTAAATGTTCATGTATAAATTCATTTAAAATTACAATTCATACATTTTAATTTCACCCATGGTTCTTAAATTTTTACTCTAGTTCCATTTTGGTTTCTAATTTTTGAATTGTTCCACTTAGATCTTTAACATTTTAATCAAAGTGGTTTAATTTTGGTCTTTTGTCACATTTTTCTATTAATAATTGAAAAAAAAAAAAAAACACACACACACACACACGAGGCATGTCAAAGGAATATCCAGCTACAACATGGACGATGTTTCCATTTTAAAAGGCTAGGAAAATGGAACAATTCAAAAGTTAAGGATTAAAGTGAAATCAAAATAAAAAGTTAGGGGATTATGGTTGTAATTGACCCCTAAAATTGGATTTAAAATTTCAAAGTAAATTGCATAATTAGTCTTTGATCTTTTCATAATGTTCCATTTTCATTCTTATTAAAAAGAAACTTGATTTTTTCATCTACAACCTTTTCAATTTGTTTCAAATCCATTATGTGTCAATACCCTGCTAGAATTTAGACGAAATATGAATGAACATATCAAGTGGCACTTTGGTGAATACATACATGACAAAATGTTACTCTGGTAAGTTCATACGTTGTGTGATGAATGAATTTAAAATAAATTCAAAAGGTCAAAAATGAAAAGATCCAATTTTTTAGGTCATAGAATGAAAATAAAATCTTGACAAAAAAATTACGAAATTACCATGAAATTTATGATAAGACTTCATTTATTTCACGAAAAATAATTTATAGAAAATAATTTCTGAAAAATATTTATATTTTTTGAATTAAAATTTTCTTTTATTATTTGGATGAGTTAATAAAAAATATTTTTTGTTGTTTAATTGTTTTGTAGAATTTTTTTTTCAAATAATATTAATATAACTAATAAATTTTTAAAAATTATTTGTTATTAAAGTATATTGAAATTATTTATTATTAAAATTATTAATATTAAAAAATAATTATATTTAAATAATAATATTTAATATTAAAATATTATATTAACATAAAAATCCTTAAAATAAAACTATTTATTATTGTTATATTATTTATTACTATAATATTATTTATTAAAAGATTATAATATTATATATTAATATATTATATTAATAGCATATTATTTATTATTATATTATAATATTATTTATTAATATAATATTATTTATAAGTAAAATTATACTCAAAATCATCAATAAATAATTTCACTCATAAATATTTTTTTGCAAATTTTTTTTTCTTTTCAAATCCTTAAGATAATTTTTTAAAAAATAACATTATTTTCCATTGATTAATAAATCATTTTTCCTTAATTGGCCAGTTTTCTATTAAATATACACTTGAAAATGTAAAAATTATTTTTTGAAAATCATTTTTTATAAAACAAACGGAGCTTAAATTTTCATGTATAATAAGTTTATAATTAAAATTAAAATGTGATTCTTATTTCTTACAAGAAAGTACAAATAATCAAGAGAAACTATAAATAATCAAATTTAAGTTGAGCTTTTTCATTACTATAATAATAGTAATAATAAAGTTTCCTCAATACATTTCCAAGTCAAATGGTTGGAATTATCTCGTCATTCCCTCATGCTTCATTTTTTCCTCTTCCAAACAATTTCTTTACAAGACATGTCCATTGTCAAGCTAGAATGCAAAAGATATGGCAAGAGATTGTTTTTGGCCGTAGGGAAGAGACCATACCTTCGAGGAAGCAGCCTGAGGCACCCATCCACACCACAAACTATGACTTTTACACAAGAGACCAAATCTTAATAAAATATTTTACGTACATTCATTGCAAGTATAACTTAGCAATGAAATTATGTATTTGATATGTTATGGCATGTAAAGATTACCCGAATATACAATATTTCATTGACTTAGGAATGAAATTAATGGGCTTTTACATACATATCTAAAAAATATTACTTAAGTTTTAATTATTGTGATTCCACCGTGACAAAGTTTTGTCTTCACAAATGAATTATTAAAATAGGATTAGTTTTATATATACTTTTCTATTGATGCAAGAATTATTGAATTGCGTTTGGTTATAACGTGTTTTACTAGAGTTTGCCAAAAAGTTTTATTATTAAAAAAAAAGTTTCTAAAATAGGACTTTACTTATAAACCACATTTTAATTCTTTGATTTATTAATAATGTGAATAGAGATATTAATGAGTAGAATATGAGATGGATAGAACATTTTTAATCTTTATCTTAATTTTTTATCTTATATTTATCTCTATGCGTATTTCAAACTCATCTACATCTCCATCCTATGGGTATGATAATTTTTGTACCCATCATTTTTAAAAATAAATAAATAAATAAATTTGTTTAGTTATTTATTTTTATCTTGCACATTTAAATATTTTTTTATAAATATGTATTGAATACAAATATATTAATTCTAATAAATCTAAAATAAAATTTATATTATTAAATAAAAAATTAATTTATTAAATATATATAAGGTATATGTACAAAGCAAGAGTTATATTAACTGTACCTATGTCTGATAAAAATTTTAAAACTATATCCGTCCACATTTTCATCCCCAAAATTTAATATCTAAACTAAGTAACAAATCAAATTTTTTTGTTGAATTTGAGTAAAATCAATATATCTAAATATCAGATCTTTTCTCATCAACACTAATGCTCCAAATAATTATAAGCCACAAACTATTACTCTCGTTATGAATGTATGAGATATTTTCTTTTCAACACTAACCTCAATTATGCGTGTGGACTCAATCATATTTCGAAATCATCATATGTTGATTCAAAGATTGTTGGATATTTAGTTTGGAAGATGATAAATCATTGTTTATAAATCACACGACATTTCACTTTCAAGACAATAAAATTATTATTCTATATACATATGGTAGAAATTTTAAAATCCACAAATAGACTTATATAATTAACATGGATCAGTTTGATAATTATTTTAATGTATTAATTTTCTTAATTACAATTTAAATGATATATGAAAATCTTGTAAATCGAGTCTTAAAGTTTAAGTTTTAAAATTCTGTCTTTAAATTTTTAATTCAAATCTTTAGCCGAATGATTAAAGAGGCTTGAAAAAACATAAAGAATCAAATTTTAAATTAAATATTTTTCTGTTCTCTTATTTATACTAAAATTACATCTTTCTATATAATAATAAAAAAAAGGTTTTAAATTCCATGGCAAATATAAACAAAATATATAAGTGCAACGGGCATGTACTGAAATGTACAAAAATTAACGAGTGTTGGACATGGCCACACATATCACTGAAAGGACTGAACGGTTTTGAGTCTATACATTCAACGACCAAGCAGTGATGATAAATGGGAGGGACCAAGAATACTGTGGTTGAAGATTCTAACGGCATCAACACGTCGTAGGGCAAAGAGCGGCCAATGTCAGTAGTGGTGTCTTGTAATTGTCCGTCAAAAAGCTGGTTTTGTACTGTTTATTTCAAGTTGTTTTCACCATTGCCGGCCTTTGAATGCAAAACACTTGGCTTTAGCATGCATTTTCTGCGAAAACGCTGGATTCAAATATATCTCATCGATGAAATTTGGAAGAATGTGTTAAGCATTCAATTTATGATATTTATTAGATATAAAATAATTTATTTTAACAAGCTTTATCTTATGTAGGTAAAAATTAAAAAAATTTATTACCCCACAGATTAAGAAAAAACAATTAAAAAAATTTTTACTTTGATATTATGTTAAGCATCCACTTGTTAAAATAAATTATCTCATATATAATAAATATATAATTTCTTATAATTTTTTATTTAGTTTGAACTTTTAATTTATCGTCAATTATTCTAAGTTGAATGTTTAATATGGTATCGGAGTCAAGACCTTTTATTTTGTCTTTTCCTAATTTATCACATAAAATGTTTTTTTCATCTTCATTAATGAGAGCTTATTAAAATGGGTTATCTCACATATAATAAATTAGATATTTATTATATGTGAGATAACTCACTTTAACAGTCTATCATCACATTAAATTAAATGCTTAACCTGGTATCAAAACCAAGATATTTTTTCGCTATGTTTTTTTAATCTGTCACGTAATAGGTCTCATTTATCTTTGTCTACACATAATAGAGGCCTGTTAAAGTGAATTTATCTTATATTTAATAAACATCCAATTTCTTATAGTTTTATATTCAGGTTATGCCTCTTCACTTATTGCTAATTATTTTAAATTGAATGCTTAACATGATATCAAGTCAAAACCTTTTTTGTTCGTTACCTTTTCCTAATTTGTCATATGTAAGGCTTTCTTTTCATTGTCTTTTCCTAATTTGTCACATATAAAGCTTTTTTCATCTTTCTCTACTCATGATGAGAGCTTATTAAAATAGATTATTTCATATCTAATAAATTTTTAATATATTATAATTTTATATTTAGGTTGGGTCATTCACTTACTATCAATTAATTTTAAACTGAATGTTTAACAGAATGTATAATTAATTGATCACTCTGCAATCACCTTTTTTAATTTTATTTCCACTAAGATAAATTTTTTTTCACTATTCATACTGATTGTATTCTTTCAGATTTTTGAACATGTAAAAGAATAATCTACCAGTTTGATGAGAAACAAAAATGTAAATTTTAATTTTAACTCCAAGTGGAAAAGAAAAAGTGAAATGTTGTAATAATAATTAACAGGATTTAAAAAAAATTTTTTAGGAGTTGTTCAATATTTGTTTATTAAAAAAGTATCGAAAAATTTATCAATTCTGTTAAAAAAAGGTATCTAGAAAAAATATTAAATACCTAAATTCCTTTTGTTTTTTAATCTTTGAATGTGTCTATAAACATTCTATTAATAGACTTGTGTCCACCTATAATAATTAAAATCAGCAAAATTAGTACGAATTCAAAAATTCATCTAATTTGTTTTAACATGACTTAATCCAATTTGATCATAAAAATCAACAATATAAACTCATCTAACCCAAATTAAAAAAAAAAAAAAAAAAAAAGAGAAAAACCCTGTAGTTAAATTAATTAAATTTTAAAATTCAACCAATTGAACAAAAATTTACATAAACTCGAATAAATCTAAAGTTAAAATCAAAAAATCTAAAGTTAAAATAAAAAATTCCAACTTGAAACTATCCAAAATTTCTTTGACCTCACCCCAACCCAACCTAATTGCCACCGCTAGTAGCAGCAGCAACAGATATCGGGCAAAGCTAGATTGCTTACAAAAGTAATGGTCTCAAAGCAATACAATAAAAATCTCATTGAAGTTTTATTTTTATTATAAGTACTTCTTTGACATCATCATTTGTAATTGGATCACCACAACAGTACCCTGTTCTCCAACGCTTGCTAACAAGGATGAGTAGAAGTCATTCAAAAAGGCAAATAAGGCTTAATAGGGTGATAACAAATTACATAATATAAAATGATAGTACAATTTTGTGATAACAGAGAAATTGTAAAAGTAACAAAATGTAGTATTATTAGCTTTTTATTACATAACATAATAATTAAAAAAAAAAACAACTAATTCGATTATTTGACATAACATTTTCCCACCGATTTCATATTTTTCCCCGAACAAAAAAATTTTGTCACTCTCAAAACTCCAGTAAACCAAAATGACCTCTTATGTTTTATTTATAAGGTACATAGCACCCAATAGAAACCAGCGAAAAAAAAAAAATCAAACATAGTGAAGAAGATTCAAAACAGATTTCCTGTCAGGCATGCTAGGAATGGCTCCCTTCACTTGAACACAAAGAGAGGCTGCTGCGGCTGCAAAATTGTTATAACAAAATATATGAGAGGATATATATGTTGCATTAAAAAATCAATTAAGAAAATAAAAAAAATATAAAGCTTTTAACCCTTGTGTCGTGTCAGCTACAAAGATCATATTATGCCATTGTACTATGTTTAGGATCAATCCTCAGTAAAGTTTATAGAAGAAATGTCCTATTTTAGATTGTTTTTTTTGGTATAGAGATCAAATCTTGTTCGATGAAATTAAGAGTTCAACACTTTACTAACACACCACATGTCTGCTGGTTTTTTGTAGAATTATATGAATATAAGAGTATAGAAAACAGAGAGAGAGAGTTAGGAATACCAGCAAATCTCAAGCATTCCTCTTTGGACTTCCCCTCTACTAGAGCCACAGCAAAAGATGCAGTAAAAGTATCACCCGCTCCTGTTGTATCCAGAACTTGTGCAGTAGGAATGATAGGTTGTCTAATTGGTTTCTCACCTTCTACAAATAAAGCAGATCCTTTGGCACCAAGTTTCACAAGAACTTGCTTAACACCCTGAAAGGTATTCACGTTTAAATTGCAGTAAGAACTTGATATTGGCCTAGAGTCTTGTATAATTGCATTGCTCACCAGTGAAGGCCATTTGCTTTAGTTAAAAATGATATGGTCAAACAAAAAAATACAACAGAACCTCTTGTGACATTTTGTGTTAGTTAAAAACTTCAGGATACAACATGTATTCTGGGTTAAATAAATGCCAAACTCACCATTTTATGACATTTTGCAGCCGCTTGACAAATCTGCTCAAAGTTTGCAGTAGGCATTCCAATCAATCGGCCAAGTTCAGATTCATTTGGGCTAAAGATGTCAACAAAATTCAACAGTTCTTGGGGCATTGGTGCATCCATTCCACCAGCATCCATAATTACAGTAACACCTGCACTCCTTGCAGCCTGAAAAATTATGGCACAAAATTATGAAAATTGATGTAAAAGAAAACCTTGCACGAGAAAAAGAGAGAGAGAAAGTAAATGTTGCCGCCTAAAGTCCATTTCAGGAAAGCAAAAAATAGCAGAGCACCCTTGCATAAAATTAAACTGAGAAATTATACTAATCACCTACCAACAACCAAGTTCATCTTCCAAAAGCAAAAAGAATTCATTTTCAATGGAGAACCCATGACTTTAGCTTTCAGACTGTTAAAGTATAAAGTTTATCTCATCCGGCTATTGATGCACCAGTCACAATATTAACAATTATCTCTTAAACTCTGAATTGAGGATACTCTAGACAAGTACAGAATCGAGGTAGACTTCTCTTTGCAAACCAGTCACTTTCCTCTTCTAACCAGAGAATCCAAGTCCACAAATACTCAATCATCTCCAAATAACTATGACAATCCCCAATGTCTTCTCTCCCAGAAATAAAGCCTACTATTGATGTTGCTGTCCCAAAATTCCAACAACTAGACATTTAATCCATGACTGCTTTGCCAAAAAAACCCACCTTTTCAAACTTATCTCACATTAAATTAAAAAAGCTATGTGACTTAACAATATAAGACCCTAACATCCCATATTTTCCAAAGACATCTTTAACTCGTCTTATGTGGTTTTCATAAATCATTGTTGCCTCTTCATCTTAGTACTTAATATTTAAGTTACAATTTGTGTTTCAACTTTTTATTCATATTTGAACTTGAACTGATGACACATACAAGTACCATGGTACTTATCCATGAAAGTACTTTGTTTCCAATGTCAATTGCCACATTGAATATCAGTCAACTAGTTTGTTTGGTTTTTTCCCTTCACCTTTTTGAAATCTAAAATCCCTTAGATAATGGTCCACTAACTTGTCAATGGTTCTTGCCACTATGTATGAGTTTCTCTTAAACCCTCCTCTTTTAGTTCTTTTTTATCTTTTGGCCAATCTCCTCTTTTAGTTCAGTGCAGCTAAAAGATCAGGTTGCCAATTCATCATATGGAAGACCAAATCCATTCACCATAAGAAAACAATCTTGATGTCAAAAGGAATGCTATTAGCACAAGTAATCAATCTATTGCAGACTCTGCATCTTTTAGGCTTCAGTGAAACCTTTCTCAATTTACAATTTAGAGTACATGAGTCTTCTCCAAGGCTTAAATGAGTCAATCATAGCTAGATGGGTGTTAATATCTGAAAAGGATGAATAAGTTCAAAAGAATCCTCCAAAGGATTTATTTTCATTTCATTAAAGAACATTTTGATGAAACTGTTCACATAGGTGTAAAACCTACACAATCCAGATAGAATAAAGTTCAACCTGCAGATAATAATTGCAATAAAGTTCAAATATAGGAGAACTTTCATGGGCATAAATTTATTTGAGATCTGACCACGTATGCAGCCAGCAGGTAAACCAAATAGTTGTATGTTTTACTAAAGAGAAGAAAACCCAACCTAGGTCTGTTTGAAAACAATCTACGAAGTAAGCCCCAAAGAAACTCATATAAACTAGAACAAAAACATTGAGGTGGAGTAAAATCTATGGCATATGATAGTTGAAGCCTGCGAGCCAAGAAGGGAGGCTTCAATGTGCGATAAAAAAGAATGCTTCCTAGTCTACCCAGAAAACAATCTACCATTTAAGCATGAAGACACCCATATAGACTAAAATGGATATGTCAAGGTGGGGCCCTACTAATGCTAACTAACTTTGAATTTCAATAGGCAAATCAAACATTAAGTGTGCTTTTATACATAAATCCCATTCACAGTTACTTCTATTATATTATCACATGCAACAAAATTTTTAGAGGGCATAAAAAATTGTATAACTCAAAGCACTTCAAATATGACTCAGATGTTCAAAACCTCAAAGCTTAGATGGAGCACTCTCTAAGGAACAGGGAAACACAATAGCTCCAAGTTCAAAATGAACCATGTAGAAGATCCCAGTGGCACAAAATCATAACAAGGGTTCTAAGAGAATGATTTTAAACAGGAAAGAAATAAACAGTGCACCAACTTAAGGATATTGTATTTAAGATGCATAACAACTGCAAGACAAATTAGCTCCAACTTTTGAACTCTTATTTTATATCTAGTTAATGAGATCCACTCTCAGGGGCTTGCAAACAGAAAGTCTTTTGGCATTTCGAAGCCCTTGTGATACTTTAGCAATATGCTTGGCAGCAGACAGAGATCATTTAATACATAATCAATTTGCAATCTGAAGTTAAGAATCATCAATTAACTTCTACATTCTTCAAAGTTTTACAATTGACCTAAAGCACAAAGCTAAACCGAAAAGGGCACAAATGTTACTTTTAATTAGCAAAACTAGCACCACCATGGTATAAGATTCCCTGAGTTAGAATATTACTTTTCACCAGATATAGGCACATCCTTAATATCAGAAAACTACAATCTTGGCATAATATTAGATGAACATATTGATTACTGCTTAAACATATTAATTTAGGATGTTAAGTGACAAAAAACCAGATGTTCCAATAAACTAAAACATTATGTAAAAATAAACATAAAGAGGCTACCGAGAAAAAAAATTGTGTAGTTTTATGATTGCAGCCCTCTAGTTCCTTACTTACACAGTGTGTCTCTCTAGAGCTTAAAAGCATCTTCCTTTTTCCAAATTGTCATATCATTCAGAGGGGTTCTAATTTAGTTAACAAAGTCCGCATTCTATATGTATAAAAGAATATTTTCACAATTAATTTATGAATTCAATTTGGCACCCATAAGTAAAATCATTCGTGCTAAAAGAAATTTTCTATTTGTAAAAGAAAAGACACATAAGCAAAAAATTCAGATATAAAGAAAGGTCCTAACCTTACCAACTTGAATATTAACAGAATCAGGAATTTCCCTCTGAAGCAAAACAATGCCAGCCTTCTTAACAACATCCAAGTCCTGATCAGACAACTTGTCAGGCCAACAACTCATATTAGCACCACCAACAATGATAATAGAATTCTGCCCATCAGACTGCAACATCACCACAGCATGACCAGTAGGCACACCACCACCCAAACTCTTCAAATACTCCAAGCGGACCCCAGCATTTCTCAATGCCTCACTTATCAATTTCCCATGTGCATCATCACCTACTTGCCCTACAAAATATGTTGGGTAAGAAAGTTTGGCTCCACAGGTTGCCTGGTTGGCTCCTTTGCCTCCTGCAAGAGTTTGGCCATTTTTGGCTGAAATGGTCTCCCCTTCTTTGGGTAATCTGTCGATTTCCACATAGATATCTGCATTTGCTGAGCCAACAACTACTAAGGGGGGAGGTTGGGTAATTGGGGTTTGGGTGGTTTTGGTTGAGTTTATGGAAAACGAGAGAGGGGGCAGGTTTTGGTTTTTGTGGTTGAATAAGGGAAATGGGATTTGGGTTAAGGATTTAATGGGTTGGGGTGTTTGATTGGTTTGGATTTTGGAGTAGCAATTGAAGTTGTTTGATGGTGAAAACGCGATTCCTTTCATCTTTCTTTCAGTGGTTTGCTGGAAAATTTAGACTTTTTTTCTTCTCCCCTCAAAGTGATAAGTGGGATTGAACTGAAGTTGTCAACTCGATCTCAAAGACAAACAGGACTCGGGAGTTTGAGTTCGACTTGCCTTGATCCACGTGCTACTCGCGAAGATTACAAAGGAACTCCAATGTTAAAACAAACGCCCGTTTATGCCATGTATCATTGTTTTGCTACCTAGCTTTTCTTTGAGGGTAAAATGGATTTTCTCCGTAAGGTGCATTTCATAATTGATCACAATTCAAGTTCATACTATCTCATAAGATTCCTTTGATTTATATTTTTGTAATTTATTTTTTAATTTTATTATTATATAAAAAATATTACTCTCTTATCTCAATTAAATTATAACCATTGAATTTTTTGTGGTAAAAAACTTTTTAAAAATAAAAAATTTGCAATCTAAAAATAAAAAAGATATTTACCTACTTGAAATTTGAATTTAATTTTAAATTTAAATGTTATTTTTTAAGAGTGATTGGATTTTTATTATATTAAATATTTTAATTAATTAAATCTTATAATATATATTTAAAAATTAATTAAATAAAATTTTTTAAATTATTTTTTAAGTAATTCTCTCAATAGTAAATATAAAAATTAAAATTAAAAAAAATTTGACCATAAAAAATAAAAATGTGACAATTTTTTTAAACGAAAAATTTAAATAATAAAAACATCAATCATATAAAATTTCTTGAAATATACATACAAAATTTATATAAATATGTATTCTTTTATACAAAGAAAATATTTTTCTTGTTCAAAATAATAAATTAGTTTTTCTCTCTTGGCCCTTGAGGAATTTAATCAACTTGTTAGTCTTGTCAAATTCTAAAAGTAATTACTAATTTTATCATGAAAGCTTAGATTTTTTTTTTGTTTGACAAATTAAATTCATCTTTATGTTTACTGTTTTACTTTGCATTGACAATTATAAAATAAAAAAGTACTACTAAAAACCTAAAATTTTTTATAAAAAAGAAAAAGAAAATAATGACTTTGAAATATTTCTCTCCTCTCACAAAAATACGAAACTGAACGGATCCAAAAACTCTTTTTTTTTTTTTTCTTTTTTCAAAGGAACCCAAAAACTTTATCCTCGAACATTAGAAAAAATGAATTAAATATATGAACAATAAATAAAAAATCCAATCAATAACTAAGAAGAAAAAAAAAAGAAGGGGTTTTGAATTTTTTTTCATTAATTCGTTTGATCGGTTAAGTTAAATTTGAAATGAAATATTTAAAATTAAATTGATCAAATTATTCTATTTTATTTTTATTAATCAAACCATATTTAGTAATTTAAAAAATATAATCGATAGAATTTAATTTAATTTAATTAATTTTTATGTTTGATGGTGTTATAGCATACATTAAACTTAAATTATATTTTAAATTTTAATTTTTTATTTGTAATTTAAGTAGTTGGGGACTTTTTATTCTGAACATTTTTAGACTTTAAAATTTTAAGCATTTTGAAAATTTTTAATTAAAACAATAAACTTACAAAATGGAAGAGGAAAGGGTTTTATTGTTTTTATATTTCAATTATTAATTCGATTGTTTCAATTATTTTGATTTATTAAATTATATAAAAATCAAAATTTATATTAATTTTTTTTTAATCATTCAAATTCGATAACCAACCTATTAATTAAATTAAATCATGATTAAAATCAAATTACGAATAATCCTATTTATAGATATCATTTTCATATATATTTTTTGTAACATTAAAAAAAGATAAAATACAAAAAACAACTTTATATTTGAGGTGGATTTAAAGTGATTTAGGTTTAAAATGTAATACTTAATTATTTTATGATTTATTTCATTATTTTTTTTGTCTAAAATCATGACTTTTTTTCGTTATTTTCAATTTTTTTATTTTTTTCTCCAATAATTCATTCTTTTTTACTCTATTTATTTAAATCCGGGCAGTATATTGACTTGCCCTGCAGGCTCCAAAATACAGGCCTCTTTCAAATTCTGCCATATATCAGTCAAATGGTAAATGATGTGCTTTCTTCCAAAGGATTGCCTTAGCATATTATGTTTTTACTAGAAAGGCCCTGGTTAACAGTTTAAGAGTGATTACTAATATGTTTTAATTAGAATGCAGCTCATATACAATTAAAAACCTCGAAATAGTGCTAAAGATCCTTGGCAACCAGTCTAAATGCTCAAATCTTGATCTCAGAGCCCTAATCTTTGAGGTTTTATGTGTTGGGATTTGCCTTGAATCTCAGAATCCCACATCGAAAGTTAAGTAAGTTTGAATTTGTCTTGTATCCCACATCGGGAGTTTAGTAAAGGTATAAAGGGTTTCACCCCTATAAATAAGATGTTTTGGTTTTAGTTTAGTAACCCCAGAGAGTTAGACACCAAGAGAATAGCTAAGTGAGTAGGCTATTAAAGGGTGTAATTGGGTTTTGGGTTAAGTTTTGAGTAAGGAGTTTTAGGAGACTTTTCTCATTCTAAAAGTCTCACCATTGTAAAGACTTATTTGATAGTGAATTAGATTTGGAGTAGGCCATTTTGAGTTGGGCCGAACCAAATATATTTGTGTGTTCTTATTCTTGATTTGAACTTGTTATTTTGTGTGTGGTTGCTACGCGTGGGTATTGTGGTATTTCCCAACATTATGATGGTGACGGTAAAAATAAGATTTCTGAACCTTTCGAAGAGAAACGTGCATGAATGAAAGTATTCGGTAATCATTTAATTGTAAAGTACACCTTATGGTGGGGAATGTAAATATGCCAAGCATATTGTCACAGGCCTCACGTTTCTTATTCTTAAACCATATGTTCGTACGGCGCAAAAATTACTCATAGTCAAGTCCATTTTTTTCAAATCCATTTTCACATGGACAGCTTGATATACATCGTTCAAGTCCCACATTAGTGAGCTTTTTCTGGTTTAGACCTTGTACGGTCGCACATTCTTAAATTTGATAGAGAGAAACTCAACTCCCTTCAATATATTAATCCATAATTCTTACAGTGTTTTGAGCACTTATCTCAACCTGTAGAGTTTAAGGTCCCGAGCACCAACCCTTAAATTCACATAGGTGCGCACAGCCTTGGTTTTATGATAATATTACTTTTTGGCATGGTGAAAATCCAACACCATGTCTACCTGCATCATACACAAGCTTTTGTATTAAGATTCCGCAGGCATAACACATATACAGGTCAATAGCCAGTTTGAAGTCTCTAGGCTTATCTCATCCCATGCAACTCGGTTTTTAGGACCTAAGCCCTTAGTCTTAATTTAGACTACTTACACATATGATTGATACCTAACATCATGTTAGTTTCGCATTGAAGACTTGGATGTGCTACCCTAGCTGCAGCACCCCTTTATCAATTGGCTGCAAGGGTCTAGCAATGTGCTTGCCTGCTAGCCTACTCATCTCTTAGGCTTGATCGTGCCCTTCCTATGTAAATACCATCTTGTAATCCTTCCAACTCAAAGAAGGGAAACAGAAGAATATAGTGAATGTTACCGCTTAACTCCATGGCTGAAAGCAAATGTGTGATATAAGGCTCGCTGGCCCTAACTTCCCTAAGTTTACCATGACTCAAGGAGATATTGTGCCACACTCGTGACTTTACAATGCTTGGCCACCTAGACACCATATGTGCCTAAGAGTAGCTCACTTCAGACTAGTTAGGCCCATGCTTGCTCGTTAGCTAAGGGGGTAGTGGAGAGTTGACACCAATCATCTCTCTATAAAAAGTATAAGAGATTTTCTAGGTTCCCAACCAAAAATTATAAGATTGTCTAAAATAGAGATACTTTTTTCTCTAATTATCTCAGGGCTTTTCTTCAACTAACTTAGGGCCCTTTGACTTTCCTTTTGGTCATCATAATTCTTTGATTTTACTCGTTGCTCCACTAACCCACTCGAGAATGCCTGCACACAACTTTGACCGACAACACCTGACTGGCTAACCGGCTCTAAGGTGCTTGCTCACTACCTTGCACTTACCTACTTATCTTGGGGCCAAGGACTCACACTGCCCATACAAAATATCAGCAACATGTTCCCATGCTCAAAATACTTGCACACAGCTTAGATCGATGGCATTTGATTGGCTACCCGGTTCGTGGGTGCTCGCCCACAATTCGAACTTACTTACGCATCTTGCAACCTAGGGTTCACATTGCTCACACATTATATCAACAATATATTCCCGTACTTAAAATGTCTACATATATGCTCTATGACTACCGTCTCGTCAACTTGGCCTCAATCGTTGCTTAGCTCAAGATCAATCATGGCAGAATCAAGACACACTAAGACCTGACCATAACACATATCGTGCTTCCCCCTATAGGAGCATAGATCGAGGAGGAAGATAAATAACCTCCCTAGAAAGCTCAGTGCATTTGTCGGGGTTTTCAAACTTTCATGTCACTTGTTGAGGAGATTTTAGAATCCATGAACCTGCTGTATATCTTCTGAACTCACATAATGCAAGGCCCTGCTATTGAAAGGCTGAAAATTAATCGTTCAAATGCTGACTGAGTTTCTATGCGTGGAGACGAGCGCACCCCAGGTGGGTATTCATTAACCTGTAAGGTAATGACCGATCTTCAGTCTTGCTTATAGAACATCACCATCCTCCAAGCTCTATGTCTATAACCATGACATAGTATCAGGGTTTTCTTTCTTTCAAATAAAAATATGAAACTTTTGGTATAATTACATAACAGAGTAAACATGTATGTCTAATTTAAGGAGTAGAAGAAGAGGATGGAAACCTGCTACTACATACTGTCAATTGGTCGAAAGCCAAATTCACGGGAATGTCTGTAAATAATGAAACCCTCGAGTATGATGAAAGAAACAAATGACAGAAGTGTACCAAAATATTGTTTTGCATCAACATTCCTAATCTGTAACATGGAAAAGGATATATATATGGAGTTAGATGGCTATATGAATTTCCATAGTTCTTATATTAACCAGCAAATTACAAGATCATAAAGCAATCTATACCGGTATCACGAGGTTAAAATCAGCTATTCGACGAACCAAAGCTCTGTAAAATAACCCAAACAGTTAATATTTTGAAAAAAAATAATTAAATAAATTATAAAATAATTAAATATCATATTTTAAATCTTAAAATTCACTTTAAATCATTCCCAAATTATATAAAGTGATTTTATGTAATTTATTTTTAAAAAATTAATTTTGAGATAGCG